GCAAAGATTGATAAGAGGTTTGATAATCGCGACTGCATAGCTATCCGATCGCTCATCTCTAACATAGCAAGCGGGATGAGAAGTCCGGCTGATCAACGGGTCGGCCGCCATCAATCTGGCTGCCCTTTCCCAGAGAACGAACGGATCATTGTTCAATCCCGATGCTTTCTCTTCTAGTCGTGTAAGTCATTTTCATTCAAGCTCTTGAATAAGAGAAGGCTATGACGTCATAATAATAGCTTCATTACGCTCATGACAAACTCCGGTTCTCTTCTTCGAAAGATTTTGACGAAAAATTCCTGAATGCCCTCGTCAGTTAAACGCGTTGCGGACCGCCGTTCTGAGAGGAGCTTGCATCATTTTCTCATTTTTTTTCTACATGGATAACCGGAAATTTCATCTCGTGTGATATGTGTACTCTATGTCCAAAAATGAGTTTTAATAACTTTGGGACACGAAAAAAACATGCCAAGTAGACCATGAATAGCGCACAGAGAAAATGTATGGCTCACCATGTGTGTCACGCGGTCCGGAACGTGCTCATTTGCCATGGAAGTCCTTTTATCACACTGCGAGATACCATGAGAACAGGGCACAATATCAATGTGTGAAACGGCTTATCAGTACGTTTCACTTTAATCCAAACTTTCCTTCTATGGTTTCTTCCCAACTTCCTTTCACATTTAACATTTTTCCACTTATCAGAGGCACGACTCTGCCGACTGAACCGACCTCCTCCCATTACGATACCCTCAACGATATACAGTTATGATCCCTGCAAACGAAGGGCGTGTGGCGTAACGTAAATTCGAGCACTGCCAAGGCGGCCTTTGCCCCTCAATGATGTCACCCCAAGCACTTCACAACTGGTGGGAAACCTGCCTTTGCTGTCCCAAGCCGCGCCCCCGGTACACCCTTCTCCCCACCGGTTGCGGGGAACATGGTTGTGAAGAGCGCATGTGGAAAAGAAAACCAATAGTAAAAAAAATTTCTCAGCTCCAACACCTTCCCCATCTCCAGAGAGCAAGTGATCCCTGATGGGGTTCTGCCTGTATGTGGCCAGCATAGGGGTCGCTATAGGTCGAAGGATTGAGCAAATGGTAAGAGATTTGTGGAGAGTAAAGCTATTAGGTTGGCAGGGAAGTTCTGTCACACTTTTTCGACTCAAAATACTTGCCCATTACCTGAAGAGGGGTAACCGGTAATGTGAGCACTTATACATCAAGGAGTGGTCTTTCTATTAGTACCACTCGCTTGACTCCTGCTTCTTCTTCTTCTGCAATATGGACAAGGATTTATCCGCTACCATCGGCACCGACCCCTCCAGACGCTTCCTCAAACTCTTTCTTCCACCACCCTGACGCCAGCATGATAGCTGCAGATGCCAAAATAATGGAGCTGAATAAGGACGATGCCCTCAATTATTGGACAACCTTCCACGACGCTAATGCTTCAAAGCGGGAGCCTACAGTTTTGATGACGAGTGAGGTTTGGGTTACCTGTGAACTCAGATTGAGGGAGCTGCGGGTCGTGAAACTGCTGGGTGAAGAAGCTGCTTCCTCGGTCAATCCGTACGCAAAACAACTAGAAGATCTGATGCGAACCATCGATCAGAGGGAAAAATTCGTCCGCACAGTCCGTCTTCAACGTGACAGTGCAGCCTACTCCGTCAAAAAAATTCGAGCCGTACCTCATACAATAGAGCTGGATCGCTCTCCCCTTGCACTGGTGCAGCCCAGACATTGCTCCTTCTAACTGCGAGTTGCCTCCCGTACTCGACCGTTATATGGACAAGAAAACCTCCACAACCCGAGCCCAATTCAAAATTGAGATGTTGTCCAACTTTGCGTCGCGCTGGCCTGCATTGTGAGGCGATGGCATCCATGAGGTGCTCAAAAACTGGAAAGAACCCAGTAACATTGCTGTATAATTTTGATCTTACACGCCTCTCTATAAAAAGAAAGCGTAATTTGAAAAAATGTGACAGAACTTTCCCGCCAACCTAATAAAATTATAAGGCGTAGTGGAACGTGTTTCCGTTCTGGAATGATCCGTAAATTAGACTTTCATTCACATCAGCATATAAAAATGGTTTTTGGGCGCTAATAATTTTGGAGAGCGCATTTAAATGGCCTGCTGTGCGAAACTTGGATTAACCTCATCCGAAGAGAGTTATCATACTCCAAATTAGTTCAGATACTCCGAGGATCCTTGAAGCTGTTTTGTTATGATAACTGCTGTTTAACGCCGCAGTTCGCGTTCCGAATGTTATCACAAGAATGCTGAGTTGTGGGCAAAAGTCGTGCCCCAGGCGGGAGTCGAACCCGCACCTCACGCTTTCCGGGCGAGTGCGTTATCCGTTACCCACTCGCCCGGAAAGCGTGAGTGCGAGTTCTGCTCCCCCCCTGGGGTTCGACTTTTGCCCATAACTCAGCATTCTTGTGGTAACTCCGAGACCCTTCTCCATATAGGCTTCTCCCTTACCTTAGAGGGTGATTCTGAGCGCCATCTCTGTAAATCCAGTTCTGCGCGAGGAGTCCTTTGAATTACCCTTCAACGTTGTTAGCTCCTGTTTGTGGTCCATCCCGGCAGTTGCCACGCGTGAGGTGAATGGGTCCGCTGATGTACTAGTGCCCCACTCTTTTGATACCCGCGTTGCATTGATGCCAAGGTCCCGTAGCGAACAAGTATTCAGCGGGAGAGAATAACCAGAAAGAAAGGGCGCATACAAGCAGCGTGTCTGACTATGGTTAGGCACGTGATTGCTTGTGCGGCAGCGTGAGCGGAGTGTGGAGACTGCACACGGCTATTACTGCCCTCCATCCCCGCTTGCACTTTCAATCGCAGAAAGTAGCACGCTGCTGCAGCAGCGGACCGACCACATACATGGCACACAGAGGTGAGCGTACAGCTTGTCTTCAAGTGGCACCGTTAGAGCCCAACTGACCCCGCCTCGTTGTAGTGTTTGTCGTTGTATATCCACCACTGTTCTTTCCTGGCATTTCGCTAGATATTCAAACCAGTATTAGTCTCGTGTTTTTAAGAGTAAGGGCCTTATCTAAGGCGTTTCGACATTTCCATCCGCTGTCTTCTAGACCAGTGATTTTTTTCAACCCTGCTAGCTACGTCGCCGGCTTTCCGCGGAGTGTCGTCGACAGCTTTTCGCGAAGTGTATACTCGAAATCCCTGAATTCGGGTAGGCGTGGCTACATGCTTCAACTTAAAGGCAGTTTTATTCTCGGGCGCGTCCCGAACCTGCCACATCCCGAAAATGGCCGAAATAGGCTGTTTTCGCATCGCTCCCCCTCGAAACGGCTGAAATAGCCGATTTTTGCTGAATTCCGCCTGAGCGTGTTGCGCTCGGGCAGAAAACTCGTCCAAAGGGGAACCCCTTGCCGATTTTTTCCGTGAAAACTCGTCCAAACTTTTCGAAGGGACAACTCGTCCGTTTGTGGGCGGGCGGGCGAGGAAGGCGTTTGGGACGGAATGTTGTTGCTCGATAGGGCGTTATAGGGGTACCCTCCTTGGAACGGAGCGCCTGTCCGAGGTCACGGAATTCTGTTAAGCCAGTCGTATAAATCCTACATCTGTATAGCGATTTATCGTGCCAACTGCCTTTAACCTGAAGGTGTCTATGCTTCTGGTGAGATATTTTCATCTTGACACAATTGTTGTCGTGTCTCTGTCCAACACAGAACAAGATGACAGTTGTCCAGACTGGAATATTCCACGAGTAACCAGTTCCGTGCCATGTTCAAATGCCACGCCTACTCTGGCTCAGGGATAAGGAGTGTACCTATAACCATTTTTGGTTTGCTCCATAGGCACTGTATCTTTTGCATCCCCATGTGCACCAGACCTGCCTCCAGTCCAGGATAGGGGGTGAGAGTCGAATATGTGGTGTTCTTGAAGGAAATCAATCGACGGCGTTTCAGTTCAAGACTCCAGCTTACAGCGCCCACTTGTGGTTTGACGCGCCCCCAACCCCTTCTCCTTTACTTGCCAAGTGTCAGTCTGTAGTGGAAAACGACTTAAAGGAAGAACCCGCGATTACTCGCCATCTCAGATGGTGGATTAGGGGGTTCCATATAGACGACAAGGGGTTGAGTAACTCGACTGTGAACAAAAAAAGCACAAAAACATGCCACCTGCCCTAGATAGAACCCCATTTCGATCCCAGTTTGTACGTGCCCAATCAACTCTATCTCCAAAACTACGCCCTCATATGCACGGCTGATTCACCGATAAGATTTCTACGATCGTACAAGTGGCGATTATCATGCTTTTTCGTCCTGCAATCTCATTTTCTGGAAGTCGGTCATTAGGGGCGGAGTCTGGAGGCGGAGTCACTGGAAAAAAGGAGGAGCCACTGAACCTATATTGCGCTACAGCGCCCCTCCCATAGAATTTTTTGCCGCGAAACCGGTACAAGGTTGTTCGTCGCGGACCACTCTAACCTCCTGACGCCATATTTTCAACTTCGATACCTGATCGCGGACCGTGCCTTTGAAGACGATATGATACAGTCTTGCCGCTTGTTAGTGGCGCCGCGCCAAACTCAGCTGTGCTTTACACGCTCCATCACTCACAGCGGACATACTAGGACTTTGCACGTCCGGAAGCGCTCAATCCCTGCAAATGACTTTGACATTTGTTTTGAGAGCATAGGTTGAGGCTATTCAGGACTGCAATAACTGTGGCTTCGTGTGCTGCGTCGACTGCAAATGAGAAGCTGATCGCATGTTGTCATGGAGATCCACAAATCGATCCTGGATGTGCGGCAAAGTACTGTCAGATACCCAGTATTGTACCGCATATGGTTTGTTCGATCCATACAGTTCATTGTCGTTAGTCGTTTTATCCACATACGTTGGGACGTGTCAGGGGCTGGCTGGGCGGGGTTTCGCGCAACCTCAGCCCATTCTCCATCAGTTGCATGACCGGGCAAGCGACAACAGCTGGTAGAAAACGTGCTGGTGTAACCGTGACACGCCCCTGCGTTTGCGGCGAAGACGTAGCGGTTGCGCCTAAAGACACAATACTCAAAGAAGCAGCAGGCGGAAGAGTTTCTTCACTATTCAGGTGATTCCATTCATATTGGAATGTGCGCCTAAAGGCAAAACCGTAGGCCGTGTATGGGATTGTGTCTCATCCAAGCACGATCACACCGCGTGCTGCTTGCAGCAGGTGAGTCACCATATAACATTACAGTCCCTCCCATTTGAGTAATGCCGTTGCCGTTTTCCAGGGCGTGATTCCGCACTGCCTACCGTACTGCAATGCCCAAGGATCCGTGCCAACTGACATGGTGAAGTATGGCGTTTGTGTCAGCGAATTCCAGAAATTTAGAGTTTGCTTCCGTACCTACCTTAAGCATCATCCATCCATCAGAGGAGATACCTAATGAGTACTTCCCTGGATTCAGTGCTGTTATCTCTACTGTGTGATCTAATCTTATGTATAACTATTTTTTCTTGTCTGGTCATTAAGTCCGCGTCGTAGATTAGTCACAAATTTGTACGAGTATTTATGTTTCATGAAAAAGGCAAAACTGGACGACTTCAGGTTGGAGGGAGCAATGCGTAGCCAGGGAGCTACAGAGGACACTCGGCTGACGTCGCCGTGTGCCCGAATGTTTATTGTTTATTGTTCTTACACGGCAAAGCGTGTGGTACAATGAAGACAATTAGTAAACAAAACCAAAACAAGGTAACAACAATGTAAGTGAACGCAAGGAAGAAAATAGACAGCGAACAAACGAAAGACAACTATCAACAAAATGAACAATTGCTAATAAGAATCAAACGGGATGTCTATGGGGAGAGGATGCGAGATACTTGTTCAAAGTGGCTTTAAAGGAAGTAATTTTATTGGTTGACCTCCCTGAGGAGAGTACCCTGTGGAACTCCCGGACAGTGCGATTTAAGAAAAAATGCTGTCTAACGTTACGCCTGGCTCGCTGAACCGCAATTTTATTGACTGGGCCCCTAGTGGTGGTCTCACGAATATCCATTAAAGTGCTTGGCCTAATACCCGTATAACCATGGAAAATCTTAAAGAGCATTATAAGATCAAATTTACGCCTTCTGAAGAGAGAGCGGCTCGAGATTCAGGTTGACATTACGTGCTACATTATCGGGGATCCTGTCATAATGAAACCCAACAGATCTTAGAAAGACCTTCCTCGTGAAGCTATTCTGGATCCTTTCCAACAATTTAACGACACGGGCTTTATAGGGGTTAAAAACTACCGTTCCATATTCAAGCAAGGGTCTGATATAGGTCTTAAAAGCCCTACATAGAACAACCGGATCCTCAGACAACAGGGCTCGGAATAGGTTAAGCATGAGTGCCATAGCTTTCACGGCAATATTAGAACAATGCTGGTCAAAACTAAGATTCTTGGTAACGAGAAATCCTAGATCCCTAATTTGCGTAACCCTTTCCAGTTTAACGCCATCGATGAAGTAATCGGTCTCAATGGCAGCCTGGCCAATACCGAGAACTTTGGTTTTGTCCTTCGCTAAGGGTAAATTCCACCGAGTAGACCAGCGGAACACTTCATCGATGGCCGCTTGGAGTACGACCGCATCATCAAGAGAGCGAATGGGGATAGTATAACTTAAAGTCGTCCGCAAAAGCAACGCATTTGACACCCTTTTCGGCCACTAGATTAGGCAGTTCGAAAGTATATATATTGAATAGGATTGGAGACAGTACACCCCCCTGCGGAACTCCGCTGGACATCTTTCGAGGTTCCGAGAAGACATCATTGACTCGAACAACGTAGGACCTATTGGTAAGAAAGGCTTTCAACCAAAGTATAATTCTGGGGTGAATACCAATTAAGACAAGCTTATTAATGAGCTTTGCATGGGAGACTCTGTCAAATGCCTTGGCGAAGTCAAGATAAATGACATCCGTACACAACCCCTTATCAAGACAGACGGTCCAGTCATTGAGGGATTGAAGCATAGCTGTAATCGGGGACCTACCCTTTTGAAAGCCGTGTTGGGATTCCGAAATTATATGATACTCATCCAGATGACTTATAATTTTTTTCTTAAGAATCTTCTCAAACAACCTCGCGAATATAGATGTGAGGCTGATGGGTCTGTAGTTGTGAGGGCTACTATGGGGCGGCTTCTTGGGTATAGGTGTTACAAATGACATCCGCCACCTATCCGGAACCTCAGCTCTCATGAGGCTAAGGTTCAGAATGAAAGCTAGTGGTTCAGAGATCACGGGAGCAATCTTCTTAATAAAATATAGGGGGATGTGGTCAGGCGTATCAGAGAATGATCTAGGCCAACTAGTGAGAACCTTGCAAATGTCACGACTGAGGAACCACAATGAGTCATTCATGACAGGAAAGGCCGGTGAAACCGCCGCTTCTTCATAACTACTTTCTCTCACAACAAACACTTTGTCAAAAATGTTTGCCAAATAACTCCGCCTTCTCCTTATCGCTAGTAACCTTAAAACCGGACTCGTCAATAATAACCCCAAGTTTTCTAGATGGTTTGAGCCGAGCCCTTAAAAATTTGAAGAAGGAGTTCTTATTGCCTGAAAAAACCACTTTCCTCTCGACACGAGACCAGAACTTCTTAAGCTTTTTGTCTTTGTCTAGAAGTCGTCTGAGCCCTACATTTTTTTTAGCCCCTACCGTGGAGCGAGCCCTACATTGGAACACATCTCTTAGCCCAAACACTGCCACATGTTTTTGTGCAATATCGTGCCAATAAACAGTTTTACTGTTGTACACGAAGACATTCTCTACATGCGCACTGCTTCGTTTTTCTTGTCTGTGTGTCTTTGTCCGTCTGGCTATCTGTATGTCCCTAATGCACTGCCGCAGCTCAAAACTACTCCAGAAAAGCGCGACCCACTAGCGAAAACAACGCCAGAGGCAAACCCACCGCACCCGCAGCGCCCAACTGTCGTTTGGCGGGGGGGGGATAGGGGAAACTTTGTGACGGCACGATTGTTCTTATCACGGTTCTTTTCCCTTTCTGGCGCAGTTTGTCGAAGGGGGCATTTTGCTTTCCATAGATGTGTCGACCCATCTAGGTAGCCGTTTCTCGAGTTGACACGTTTTAGGATAGTGGCTAGACGATCTTACTTTAGCTTCCCAAGAGTTCGCGAGTTTTACTAGAGTGAGATTTGTAAAGCGGAACTAGGGAAGCAATGATAACACGAAATCCCCCCGTCGACAAACAGCGGCCCCCCTTTCTTTTTTCATAACTCGAGCACCGCTTTGTCACTTAGTATTTGAACCACACAACTCACCATTCAAATGCTAAACGGGCCTTCAAAGGCAGGGTCCGCGATCAGGTATAAAGTTGTAAATATGGCATTGGGAGGGTAGTGTGGTCCGCGAACAACCTTGTAACGGTTCCGCGGCAAAATCTAATGGAGGGGCGCTATAGCGCGGTATAGGTAAGGTGACCCTTCCCTTTCTCCAGTGACTCCGCCCCCAGACTTCGCCCTTCAAGACCCGCCTCACAGTGAAAGACTTGCAGGATGAAAAAGCATAAAAATCGTCACTTATACGGTCGTAGGGTTCTTATCGGAGAATCAGCTGCGCAGATGGGGCGTAGGGTTGGAGATGATCGTAATGGGCACCTCCGAAACTGAGATCGGAATGGGGTTCTATCTAGGGCAGTTGGCATGTTTTTTCTGCTTTTTTTTTCTTCACTATCAAGTTACTGAGAACTTGTCGTCTATGCAAAACCCCAAATTCACTATCGACCGATCGCGGGCGTAGCCTTTCAATGACGCTTATTTCAAGTAACTAAAATCCTGAATTTAGCAGAGCATTTAGACTTGTCGTCATTGAAAAAAGAACCACAAAGAGGGCGAAGACTGCGAAAAGACGTAGGGGCTGTTCCAGTTGCAGAACACGTTGTCATAGCTGAAAACATTGAAAGCTATTGCCATGTACGGCTTTCCAAACATTGTGTTGATTGTAAAATGTTTTGCTTTAACTACAACAAAATTGATAGATCAACTTTATTGCCACACGTTTCAGTTTAAGCAATTTCTTCACATCCTGAGAGGAAAGGAACAATGTATGACTAGAAGCAGTTCCGGCGACAGGGGGGGGGAGGCATTTTGCTTCCTAACGTTTTGTCGACCCATCCAGATAGCCTTTTCTTGAGTTTACACG